TATAATATTTATCCTCAGCAAATTTCCAAGTATGTAATACAGTATTGATAACTATAGGCAGTATGCTATATAGTAGCATATCACAGTGCCTCATATATGATAAAGCCATCAATAAATGCTTTTGTAAAGAATTGATCCAGTCAATGCAAGGCAGTGGGATTAGACATAGCATGATAAAATATTCTTAAACTCTCAGTATTAGGCAAATATAAAGCCATATTTTAAAAAACTGCCTCACTGGGTGTGGTGGCACACGCCTAAAATCCCAGCACTCGGGAGGCTGAGGCAGGAGGATCATTGCGAGTTCAAGGCCAGCCTGGGCTACAAAGTGAGACCTTGTCTCAAAAAAAAAAAAAAAAAAAAAAAAAAATTAAAGATTGCCCATTATAATTGCTTTGTCTCTTGTTTTCTTTAGGTATGAAGTGTTTAAACACTGAATATATCCTGCACTCCCACACACATGGAGATCAGACCTATGTTAGACCTGCCGAGTAAGTGCTGTACAAGTCATTCCCAGATCCTCAAAGTCCTTAACGCAAAAATTCCAGTTACTATTGCACAGTTGTCACTTTGCCAAGTCTGACATTATTTTAAGGTCAGTTTAGCTCAACTCTAAAGCTTGCAAATTACACGTTCAATTACTGTATTATTATTTTTTCTAGATTGTGTTTTTGATCTTTTAGTTTGGCCCTATATTATTTTTCCAAATGCTAACCAGTTACCTCATACCTGTTAAACTCCTATAACCTATGGTTGATGCCTCTGCGGAGATATTCTGTAAGTGCATTCATTCTGTGATCTAATACACCCCCCACCCAGTACTGGGGATTGAACCCAGGGCCTTTGCTCCAAGTTATAGCCCCAGTCCTTTTATTAAAATCTTTTTTTGTGACAAGGTCTAACTTCCTCAGGCTAGACTGTTAGATTTAAGTATCCTGTTGGAATTTGCTAAATCTGCTTTGTGGACATTTCTATAGATTTACACTCTATACCCGTGCATGTGATATACTCTCTCTTCAATTAATTCACTCAGTACACATTCCTTCAATTCCAAAGGAAGCTCCTACTATGTATAACCAGCTTTTTACTGGATGGTCCTTTCTGCTGTCAGTGTGAAACGTTTTCATTTCTGGCTGCAAAGTGCTCACAGAATGCTCCTGGTATTTGTGTTTAGCTTTTACTAAACTCTTGGTTCTGAAAAAAAAACAAAACCCGGTTGGTTCTGTACTGAAATATTGCTGAGACATCTTGAATTTTCCAGTTGTCTTACACTGACTCCCATTTTCTCATTCATTTGTAAAAAAGTATCCCTTTTCACTGCCATTTGGAATCACATTGATGAAAGACAGAAAAAGAAATATCCTCTTAAAACTCAGGCAAACTATGTCTTGTAATATGTGGAAGGGAACATGTTTTCAAAGATAGTTTTCATCAGAATTCGGTAAAATTATGCCCATCACAGCACCTCATGGCAACTGAAAAAATGTATTTGTTTCCTACCAGTCTGCAGAATGTCACCCACCAGTCTGCAGGTGTCACCAGGGCAGGATCAGCGCATTTCTCACAGGTCCCATCTTATGATCAAATTTCATGTCAGTGCACTAAGCCTGTAAATAAGGGACACTTTTTTTTCTGTCTTTTTGAGACAGGGTCTTGCTATGCAGCTCAGGCTGGTCCCTAACTCGCAGTGATCCTCCTGCCTCAGCCTCCTGAGTGCTGGGATTATAGGCGTTCACTACACCCGACACTTTTTTTTTAAACCTTTAAGACTGATGATAACCCAGGAAACATGCTCTAAATCTGTTCCAGAATACATATTACAGCCCAAACTTGGATTTGCTTTGGAGACAATGAACAATTTTTTTGGTAGAGGAGGAAGTTTCCAGGGGGAGGCTAGGAGATACTATTTCATAGTCATACTTGCAAGAATTAAGCATTTTGCCAATGACAAAGTAGAACACAAAGTGTGAGGTCACTTGCACGTTAAATGTAAAGGGGAGCTACACTGATTTACTTGTATGTAAAGTAAGTGAGGGGCTGGGGATTTAGCTCAGAGGCACAGCGCCTGCCTGGCAAGCACAAGGTCATGAGTTCAGTTCCCAGTACCGAAAATAAAAATAAAGTAAGTGAAATTCCTAATAAGTAATCATTCCTAGGGTTGATTATCTGTGGAGTAACTTTGCATTGACCAAAAAAACCAAAACGAGGAAAGACGGAGGAGTTTGCTTTTTGGATATTGATATAAAATTTCAAGTTTGGGAAGTCAGTTGTAATGTTTGACATGATCCAACTATGACGTCACCAGATTTGAGCTGGTTAGCTATTTTTAAACTGCAGTTTGAGGAAGGCAGTTTAGAAGGGATACACTACATCACTCTAGGGAGATATATATGATGGAATCACAATCTGTGACAACTTGTTGCAATAAATCCTGAACTTGTATCCCTTTTGCGTTACCTTTCATACTAAAGCACCTCAGTCCCTCAATGGGAAAAAGATCTTTTGTTATATTTGCCCAATGTTAAAACAGGTCAGTGTGGAGAACGTTTCTATGAAGTTTCTTCCAAAGTGCAAGTGAAAACAAGATCCTTGGGAGAGCTGGTCTTAACTGGTAGAGGAAGATGTGAATTCTACTCAAAGTATGATTTTACTTAGAGGCCATGGATCTTACGTGCCTTGGCAGAGCTGGGAAGAACAGTGCACAATGCATTTGTAGAAACAATTTAATACACATGTAGTATCTGATAGTTTTAATTACACTTCATGGTAAGAGATTGCTATTGACAATTCAAATTCAAGATTGTCCAAATCTTTATAGAAGACTGCTGACATTGCCAATATGGCTTCTCAAAAATGACTAAAGCTGGGTGTTGTGGCACACATTTGTAACCCAGCACTCTGGGAGGCTAAAGCAGGAAGATCCCAAGTTCAAGCCCAGCCTGGGCAATTTAAGTGGCATGAGACCCTGTCTCAAAAGAGGACTGGGGTTGTAGCTCAGTGTGGAGGTCTTGTGTTCAATCTCTACTGTTGAGGGTAGGGGCAGGAAGGGTTCCAGGAGTTTGGGCCAAGAAAGACCCTTTAATCAGATACCATTAAAGGTAGACATTGAAAATATGCTTAACTCTAGACGTTTGGATATATATATACTTCATGAACTCAGATGACTTGAGGTTGGCTGTTTTTTTTTTGAGACAGGGACCACATAGCCCAGGGTAGGCCAGTCCTCCACCTCCACCTTCTGAACGCTGAGATGCACTACCACACCTGCCTCGGTTTTTGACAGTATATAAACTTGGAATATCTAACTTGTCTAACTCAGAAAGTCCGAAATATTTTACCCAAATAGCTATCTCCTCAAACGCTGTTGAAACTTTTTATCACAAATATAAAAAAGCTATATACAAGACAAACTCTGGGTGGTATCAGGAGCAACTGCTTCTGGACCAGACTTTTGATTCTGAATAAACAATTTTTTTACCTAAGAAATTAAGTGTTTTGAATGTTGGGGAATTCAAAAGTTGAGAATTTCTGCCTAAGTAATAGATCCACTATCACATTTCTCAATGTTTTACCAAATTACACCTACATTTAAAAATCTGACTCAAGCAGTTACTTGATTGTACCATAAAGCAGGATTGTCCTGTGCCTTTCAACGAAGGTCCAATTCAGGACCCTTTCTCAAAAGAAATGTTCATCCCATCAGGTTTCTGTAAGCTCACTGTGAAGTCTGAGGCAGCTTAGCTTCCCTCTGAAAACCTAACCACAAGAGTAGCATTTTTATGTCCACTCCCTTTAGGAGTAATTAGAAGTATATTGCTTTTTAACCCTCATTTAGGAAACTAATCCCTTCACTGAGTAGTAAAACATGTTACCAAGCACACTTGCTAGCCAACAGAGCCCAGCATTCTTCCTAAGCACTGTGAAAGCCAGTCAGCCTACCCAATAATCCCATTTCCCAGTATTCACATGCCTCCCACAGCATACCATGCTGGTACAGTATTTGGTCTGTGTCCCGAAGAGAGCTTCTGTTTGTTTTCTTGGATTACTTGCCCCAGAGGAATTCAGATGCTAGTTGTCAGGCAGGCAGCTTTGTGGAGACATCCATCATGAAGAGCTGAGGCCCAAAGCCACGTGAGCAAGCCACCTTGGAGGTCCACTCCTCCAGCCCGCATCAAGCCTTCAAGATGATGGAGCCCAGGCTGACAACCTTACTATAAACTCAAGAGATCTCAAGCTATAACCAACCAGGCAAGCTACATGTAGATTTTCAAGTTAGAGACTGTGGGGGAATGTTTGTTCTTTCAAGTTGCTAAATTTTGGGTGATAAGTGACATACCAGGCAAAGATCATCCACTGTTTCCTGAAAGGAGTAAGTAAAAATTGTAGTTACAACTGCTTTGACCTGAAATACTGAGTTAATTCTGCCAAAGACAAAATTTTAAATTCATGCTTGCTTGATATCAGGAGGAAAAACAAATTCTTAAACTCATTCATCTACAAAAAAACAAAACAAAACAAAACAAAACCACTGAATTTACAGTCACAGTTAAACAACTCAAAATACAGCAACAGCACAGCTCCTTAGATATTTTCTCTCACAAGATTAAACTACAGATATTGGGTTGTGTTTGTGCAAACGGCAAAAAATCCAAATTAGGATGTCTCTATTACAACCTGTACTATTTTTGTGAGTTTTAAACTAGTTCTTATATAGAAAAGAAGCTGAACATGGTGGCACATGCCTGTAATCCCACCACTGAGGGAGGCTGTAGCAGGAGGACCAAAAGTTCAAGATACCCCTACACAACTTAAAAAAATAAAAAGGGCTAGGGATGTAGCTCAGTGCAGAGGCTCTGGATATGATCCCCAGCCCTAATATTAGGGTAAGCATGGGAGCAGAGGAACAAAACATAGGCAACAGCACACAAAGACTACCTATAGTTGCCAACTGCAGAATTCAGCACAATGCAGGTGTTCTCTTGACATTTAGACATCACAGATCACTACCAGAACATCACATAAGTTTATTTCAGATGTAACAGCAATGTTAAAATTGAAAAGTTTAATTTTTAACTGCACCAAGTAAACTTAACCATTTAAGTATTTTTAAAGTTATTCCCTCCAAAAACTGAGGGAGCTTTTCTTTTCCACCACCACAAACCATGGTTTCCCAATAGTTCACTTTCTGAAGGACTTTTCAACTGATGAGAAAACTGCTTTGGAAATACTTTAGAACTCTTTCCCCCAAATGAAAACTAATTTGGGCAAATTATATATTGCATAGATTTCTCTACAGATTCTTTTATAGACTTAAATGCAACTTAGCATATGGTATAATTTTAATCTATTTGCCCCACAGTAAAAACAATCTATCTTGAAAAGTGGATATTCTGTGATCTTCTAATTAATATAATTACTGATTTATCTCAAAGATTATTTTTTAGCATTTGTCAAAATAATCAACTCAACAATGGACATTAGTCTTTATTGACTCAAAGACGTATGAACTAGTAGTACCCAGTATCGACCTCTTTCACACTCCCTTCTCTATGTGGATGGAATTATTTAATACCAACTTGATGGAGGACAATTAACCCTTTACCAACACTAAGAATTTAGATTAAGTCATTGACTAGTGTGGAAAAAGAAACCACAACGACAGGAAGCCTACACACTTAATTCAAACATGAATGTTTTTCTTCTGTCTTTAAATAACATGTACTTAATCGTGAGGCAGCTATTTGGTTTTCAATAACCACATTTAGGGATACATTCATAGGACTGCTTAGACAGTCCAGGTGAAATAGAGGCAGTGTAGTCTCAGAAAATTCCCTAATATATCAAAATCTATTTTGATATCTGGAAGTTTACAAAAAGGCTGAACTCTTCATGCTAATTATGCTTTCTGTAACTCAAGCACTCTTCTCTTGGCAAGAGCAAGCTGAAACTTATCCATGAAGCTAAGTAAAGGTGCTTAATGTTAAACATTTCTTCTAAGATTGGATTCAGATTAAGAAACTGATACGAAAGACCAGCTAGCATGGTCTTTCTACACTTTCAATGAGATTAGAACCCTATATAATTACTCATCAACCATCTTCCTTTAAAAAATTTTTCTTGGCACTCAAGACTGCTGAAGTCTATTTTACTTTGTACTTTCACATTTCCAAATGAAAACTTAAGGTTATAAATGTGTACAAACACTGTATAAAGTAATTTTGCCATGTAACTTATTTGGAGATGAGACTTTTACATATAAGGATAAATATTACAAATCAAACTTCCTTTTAAAGTCAGATGACAGGGCTAGGGATTTAGTTCAGTGGCGCAGTGCCTGCCCAGCAAACATGAGGTTCTGAGTTCAATTCCCAGTACCAAAAAAAAAAAAAAAGTCAAAAGACAGAAAACTCAAGCTTTGTGTACTGCTTTCGAGTCTACCAAGAACAGTTCTTGAGCTACCACCACTGACAATCTAAAAAAACGGCAAATATTGAGATTGGACAATGGGAGGAAAATAGTTATCAACTTGTCATAACCACTCCCTACTTGCCAGATAATCATCTAGCATAAAACCACTTGTCAGTAGAGGAGGTCACAGTGATATCTGTACTATTAACACTTTATGCTTCTACCTTCCCAAGAATAGAAACAGTTTGTTCAATAATTCCTCTTATCCCAAATCCTTAAACTCAATATCGTAGGCACAGAGTATAAGCAAATCCGGGATATTCTCCAACCGATAAGGAGTATCACCATAACTATGTTATTCTCAAAAAATACTGTCTAGATATTCTTTCCTATATAATCACTCACTGGCAACATTTTTAACAGCTTGTATTAGTTGACATTAAGTGCATTTATTGTGCCACAAATCCATCTAAGCTTTTCTTTAGGTATTTTAAAATGCGTCCAAGAAAAAAACACCTTCTTCAGGTTTATTTAGGGGCGTTAACGTGTAAGGACATCAACTCCATTTTTAAAGTTAGACTAACTATGGTATTGTTGGGCTTACTGAAGAAAAAGGACAGGAGAAAAAACTAAATCACAATAAACTTCTTTAGGTCAGTTAAAGGCTATCATCTCTAGCTGGGATATTAAAAAAAATTTAATCTCACCAGCTCACTCTAAATGTTAATGCCTCTAGTAACAACAGCAGGAAAAACAAACCTGCTGACAATCAGTCCACTCATTAAAAAAGCAGTATAACTCAAATACTTAGACCAACGTGTAACACTACCTACCCAAACTTCCCCATCAATCAGCAAGAGAAAAATCAACTGTTTAAAAAATCTAAATAAGCTTAGTATTTCTCACAAGGATAACAATGGTCCAACTCCTGAGAGTGCTCAGAAGGACTAAAGGTGGGGTGAAGGCAATGTCTAGGGATATGCATCCCACAAATAGTCTTTAAAAACCCAAAGTACCACAACACACCAAACTTGTCTATGAATCAGAGAAAAAGATATTGCTGCTGTGTCTTTTTGTCTTTTGAAATAAACAATATTTGTAGGCTCTGCCCTTCAATGTGAAAGCAGGACGTTAAAAAAAAGTTTAAAAATTTCAAATTATTTTATACCCAAAATTTTCGGGTTATACATCTTAACTATGAAAGTAAACAGATCTTCTTCCTTCAATCCAACCACCTCACAAAAATGCGAGAATTGAAACAATCCAAACATGATTATTTTTAAAAGTCCTTGAAATTATTTAAACTTTTAAAGGAAAGAGGGGGGAAAAAAGGAAAACCAAGAACAAGAGAACTAGGAGGGAAAGCTTAACAAAGAGGGGAGGGGATTAATGGGCCTCTCTTTTTATTTGGCGACAAGCAAGTGCAAGAAAGTTCATTTGTAATTTGTTCAGTTGTCTGTCTTTTGTGCATCTGCATTTTGACCAGAAGGGACTTTGAGGTTTTTCTGAAGCACATGAGCATCAGCAGGTTCTATCCTCTTATAGTAGTTCTTCTTTGTCTCAATAATTTCAAAGCCAAATTTCCTGTAGAAGTCAATTGCTGACTCATTGCTGATCTGGACGTGCCTAAGATGTAACAAAGTATAAAGATATAATAATATATTAAAATTTAATCAGCTTCAAAATAGTTCTGGAATATTACATTCTCTTCAATTACTAGTAATCAACAAAAATTATTTAATGCTTATCAGAGAACTTTTTGATGATAATTTGAAAATTTTAACCTAATTCTGTCATTTGCAGAACAGATGGCTAAGATTAGGATGCTCTTACAGTTAAGGGTAAAGTACCATATCTGTGATATTTTTGAAAGGAAAAAGATTTCTTTAAAGTGGATTAAATAGGCGAGGGGATGAAGTCACATTAAATATGAGGCAGAAAAAATGATTAAAAACCCCGAAAGTTAGGATCTCACATGCCTGAATATATCCTATCATATACACAGGACAGAAAACATGCTGTATTTTATTCTTTTTTGTTTTTCTTTTCCGGTACCGGGAATTGAACTCACGACATTGCGCTTGCCAGGCAGGCGCTGTGCCACTGAGCTAAATCCCCAGTCCCCATGCTGTATTTTAAATATAAGAGATCTAAGCTTTCTCTATTACTCCTCAAAATAACACTACATAATTTAATTTCTCCCACCACCTAAAACGAATTACAAACAATACATAGCCCTGATTTTAGTCTTGGCTTTAATCTATAATCTCTTGAGATATAAATATAATCTAAGTGAAATCATTTCTGATTTTGATTATTAAACTCTACTACAAATAAGGATATCACTGGTAACCTTCAACAAAACAGAGTGCAAGCAACACAGCACTAGAAAAATACTATTAAGATATTAATGGTCTTCAATTCTGAACAGTTGGGTTTTAATCCTGGCTTCATCATGACCTGAACTCCCCTTCCAATATAATTAAGCTGTGTGTTTTACCTTACGTTGCTTTCTATTATTAAAACAAAAGAAAACCTTACTATAAACTATAGTTGGGCCTCTATATCCACGGAATTTGCAACCATGGATTCAACCAACAGCAGATTGAAAATATTCTGGGGAAAAAAAAAAAGCTGCATCTGTACTGAATACACATTTTGTCATTTCCTAAGCAATTCAGTTAGTTTTACATAGCTCTTAACTGTATACATACTGAAAGTAATCTAAGTAGATTCAAAGTATGTAAGAGGGTATTCGTATGCCACATACATGACTATGCTGTTTTATACAGAGGTTTGAGCTCCTCAGACTTTCGTATCTTTAGGGGGTCCTGGAACCAACTCCTTACAGATTCCTAGGGACAACTATACTTCCATAGTGTTTTCAAAGATACAAAGTGGCCAGATTTTAAATTCCTGATAAAGATTTCTACTGACAATTTATTAAACTCACAGAACATTAAGTATTATTTTACTTACAGATAGATGTTGTCAAAAGTGCCATCTTTCTCACAGATGTTTAAGACATGATTTAACATTTTAGTTCCTATTAATAAGACAAACAGCAAATAAGTAACCTTACAAATCAACTTTTAAATCTCTTATCATGTCCTAATAGAATTTATAAGGTATATACAAGATTTCCTTATTTTCCCAAATTTTGTCTCTTTATATAACCACATGTTTAAAACGATTAGCAGGAGAGCAATCTTTTTATATAAATTTTTACAGACAAATAAAATTTGATCCAAAAGATATAAATTTATATAGGGTTTCCAATTGAATTATGTTAATAAACAGACTCACTAGATGATACAGATTAACAAACAAGGTATTTATGCTTCTTTAAAGTTTAAAAAAAAAGCCCACTAATAATTTTACCTATTCCTAGCCTTCGGTAGGGTGCAAGACATCCTAGTGTCATGATGTAAAGTCTCTTCTGATTCTGTGAATGATCCACCCTGCAGCATACTGCACCTACAGCAATATCATTGAAATAGGCTGCCATGGAAAATAAAAAGATACAAAGTTCAATGGATAAAATAACACATTTTATTTACTCTTCTAAAAGACTAACTGTTCCTATTAGTGTTACATTTTAATCAACTACTTTATGACTGTCAATATTTCAAAGACCTCTCACATTATCTCAGGAAGGTTAAGCCTCCTCTGTAGTAAAATCAAATCAGTGATAATATACAAGAAAAATTAAATAATAAACATTTTGCGTTTCCTTTTAATTATTTTATCTCTAAGAATATTTATCTGTAAGATGGTTCTCAGAACTTAGATTAGTCCAATTTCTCCACTTGTATAATAAGAAGACTAAATTAGTTAACGTCTGGCTCTAATATTAACAGGTGCAGTTCAAAAACACATTCTTTTAAAAGGATTAAAAAAAAAAAAAATCACACTATACCAAGTTTTGCTAGCTCGCCAACCTCCAGTACATCCTTGTAGAACTTGTCATTATAGCTGACTGGAAAGATGACCTGGTTTAACCGCTTCAGCTGTTTGATATTGTGTGGTGTTACATCTCCGAGCTCGATCCGGCTACTGGAACAAAGCAAAAGGTGCTCAGTAAAATATAATCAGCTTCATTGTTATGATAAACATAAAAAAGGGGCACCAAACCTTTTTTCACAATTGACAAATCCAACCCTTTCAGAGTGACTTTATATTCTTCTAAGATTACCATTTAGGTATAAGCAAACTTCATTAGACATTTAATCCAAACTCTACTCAGAGCTTTTGTACGTATTTAGTGACAAAGACAGTACACAGCAACTACTAAGGCCACAATATCCTACAGTTAGATACATCCATTATTGATTAAAAGAATTAATAATATTTAATACTGGCAAGGTGAGAGCAAATGGTATTTTTACACCTTGTGTATGACAATGTAAATATGTTCTATCTGTATTGACAAGCATAAAAAGTACATCTTTTTGATGTAAGTAATCCTACCTCTAAGAATTCGAGAAAATAATTCACAAGTATGAGTATATGCATTCTATTCATCAAGAATAGTGGTCTAGTCGGGCATGGTGGCACATGTCTGTAATCCTAACATTCAGGAGGCTGAGACAGGACACTATCAGTTTGAGGTCAGCCTGGGCTACATAGTGACTTCAAGACCAGCTTGAACTACATAGTGAAACCCTGTCTCAAAACAAAACAAAACAAAACAAAACAAAACACACACAACACTGGTCCAAAACTAGTTAATATCAGATTCACAGACATGGTACTCAAAAATCAACTTCCTCGACCCTTTCTGTTTCAGAATCCAAATCTCTGGAAGTGGAACAGAGAGAGAATCTACATTTTGTTTTTGTTACCAGATATCGAACTCATGACCTTGTGCTTGCCAGGCAGGCATTTGCACCACTGAGCTATATCTCAGGTCCGAGAATCTACATTTTGAAAAACGTATTTGAAAATTACCTATCTAGAACACATCAGTAGTTCTGAGAAACCACCATGCAGGCAAAATGATGATTAATTCCACTGGAAAAAGGATTAAACCCCAAAAGTTCTGACTTATAGTAACTGTTTTGTCATGCTGTCAAAATAAATTTAATAGCTCAAGTAAATTTTATTATAAGATAAAGGCTCATCAAATGTGATAAGGCAAATCTAAACAGAAATCTACACAATTTTTCTTCCTACCACAGCCAGCACTATCAGTGACAGAATTGCTTATTATTACTTGCTGATTTCTTTTTTCTTTTTTTTGCAGTGCTGGAAATTGAACTCAGGGCCTCATGCTTATGGTATCACTGAGCTACACCTTCAGCTCTATTTGCCTTCTAAAATATCATTAACAGTGAGTGGTAAAACAACAAAAAAGATCAAAATAAACAGTTAAAAATCAATATAAAGAGTTAAAAAATAAAATGATTTGGTGCTGATCAAGTGGCCAGAAAATCATGTAGGTTATCTAATTCATTTGGTGCTAGTTTCAGATCATAAGGGCACTGGGTAGTCAACAGCAGTGAAATACAGACAATGTATGCTAATTAATTGTTTATATCCTATTTGGAGTGTGAAAATTCTTTGTTGGAGAAATAACTAAACAAGAATGTTAATTACTGTGCTTTTCATAATAGCAAAAAAAGGGGAGGAAATTAAAGTGTTTATGTATATAAACTAGTTAAAACATGCTACATTCATGTTCATACATACATGTCTAACACAAATATGTTGTAATATATTTTGTGAAGAAAAAAGCACATTCCAATGACATGTCACAGTCCAACTTTTGTTAATATATACAGAAAAATATTTTAAAGGCTATTCAAAAAATAGCCAGTCATGATGGCAAAAGCCTCTTATTCCATTTATTTGGGAGTCTAAGGCAGGAGCCCTGAAACTTTGGGCCTCCTTGGGCAACTTACTGAGAACCGTTTTATGGGGGGGGGGGGAAATAAAGCACAAACTGTAGGCAATTTTTTAAAAAACAGTACTCTCTGAAATGTTAAAATTTAGACACAAAGCCAGGCGTGGTGGCACACGCTGTAATCCCAGCACTGAGGAGGCTGAGGGAGGAGGCTCAGTAGCGAGTTCGAGACCAGCCTGGGCTACAAAGTGAGCTCAAGGCCAGCCTGAAATGCATAGCGAGACCCTGTCTCAAAAAGACCAAAAAAAAAAAAAAAAAAAAACAAAAAACAAACCCACCACCAGGAAAACCATTATTCTGTAATGTCTAGTTTGAGTAACATTCTACTTCCTAAGGAATTAGAAACAAAAATTAAGAAAACTTTAGTAATTTTTATGCCAATGTTTTTCATCATCTACTACATCTCAGTCATCTTTGTGTATCTTTATGTATTTTCCTAAAACATGAGCACACATATTTTCTCTGCAGTTACACCAATTTTTTTTTTTTTTTTTTTTTTTGAGACAGAATTCCACTGTGTAGTTCAGCCTGTCCTTGGAAACACTATGTAGCTCAGGCTGGCCTTGAAACTTGTGGCAATCCTCTTGCCTCAGCCTCCCAAGTGCTGGGGTTACAGGCATGTGCCACAACACACCCAGCTGTTATACTGATTTTTATTTTTCTTTCCAATTTCTAGCCAGAGTGTCTTTTCCCAACTCTACTGACAATTACAGTGAATTCTCTGTATAAGATGAAGGGGCCAGGGATAGCTCAGTGACACAAGTGTCTGCTTGGCAAGCACAAGGTCCTGAGTTTGATTCCTGGTACCAAAAAAAAAAAAAAAAAATTCATGTCTTATTGTAGGTTACACCTCATTCACAGAACTCTGTTTTTATTAAAGCACACCTTCTTTTTTTCTTAAAGCTGGAGCAGCCTACATTTTGCCCAAACCTTTTTTCTAATTGAACTCTAATAGGCTCACTTCTCCATGGTCTACTACTCACATATTAAAAAATATGTAGATAATGTTATCCTCTAAAACTTAAGATCTTTTTAGATACAGAGATCATATTTCATCCATATTGTCTATTCTTTACCATAGTGCAACAAGTTGGGTGCAGTAATTTTATATATAATACAGCTTATACTGATTATATTCAGAGCATAGCACTTAACAATTCTACATTGCACTCTAATTTAATTTTAATTTAATTTTGCTTTTTGGGGACAGCCTTGCTATCTATTCTGGCCTGGCTTTGAACTTATGGTGATCCTCCTGCCTCAGCCTTCTGAGGCCTGGGATTATAGGGGTGTGCTACCATGCCTGCCTACACTGTACTGTATTTTTAAAAAGGTGTAATCTCTTGTATTTTAAAAATGATTTTAAAATTACATTATGAAGTTTAATTAAAAGCAATAAGGAGCATATTAAGAACATAGGAAGCCAACTTTCTAAATGTAAAGTGCAAAAATTGAGATTTTAAAAATTTTAAGGACGACTCATGGTAATTACGAGGCTTCAAGTGTGTTTACAATTTTCAAAAGGATAATAACCAGGCATTTCCTGACTTCAGACTGAAGGAAAGGTGCTTAGTGAAATGCACTGAGTCTAATGAAAGTAAAATACTTGCACTATTTGGGCCGGTCAAGCCTAAATAGACAAAACAACAGTGATTTATTAGAGAACAGGCAACTTAATGTTTCCCTGCCTGATTTTAAAGTCTTTTTTAAAAAAGTATATCATAATAGAAATGACTTAGGAAATGAAAAATAATAAAAATGAGTTTAATATGGTCTTCTAATATTTTTCTACATAGAATTATGCCTTAAACAGAATGGGGATATTACAAATATTGTTTGGTAGCTCTTTGAGAATTTAATCAAATTTGATTCTTTTTAAATGATTGGGATATACCAGAAGCAATTTCAAAGTAGCCATTAAATATAACAGTGTCAGCAAATTAAGTTTCAAATATAGTTTAACTTCCATAAACAAGTCTCATTGAAATGAAATACTTCTGTAATCCTGACTACTTAGCTCCAAATTATTTAAAGATGTGGATATTCTAAATATATCAGAGTAACATCATCAATTTGTAAATATAATTTCAAAAGAACATGCGAGTATTAAGGGAATAAGCATAAAGAATATGTAAAAGTCTCAAGAAAATAAGACTATCACATGATTATAAATCAAAAAGCAGTTTTAAAAATTGCAAATTAAGTTTTAAAAAAGCCCAGCACACACTGCTGCTTGGGCTTTTGGCTAAGATCAAGTGTAGCAAAAAAGCCCAGCACTGCTATTAGAAAATCTGTCTAAGATCAGGCATGGTAATGAACATTTACAATCCCAGAACTTGAGAGGCTGAGACAGGAGGATACTCAGTTTATGACCACTCTGAAATATGTAGGGAGACCCTGTCTTAAAAAAGCAAAACCACCAAAAACACCAGAAAAGAAAATTGATCTAAGAGTTATCTTTTAAGAATCCTGTGAATCTAGCTGGGTGTGGTGGCGTACACTTGTAATCCCAGCCCTTGATAGGCTGAGGCAAGAGAATTCCAAGTTCACAGACGGCCTGAACTACATGACACCCTGTCTCAAAAAAAAAAAAAAAAAAAAAAAAAAAAGACAAAAGAAAAAAAAGGCAATTCTTTAAATTTTTCTGCAGTTCTTATGAGTTCCCTACTCAAAGCATACATCATTTCTCTTTCAATAAAAATATCTGAACACCTAATCTAAAATGCAGAAACAAATATATACTGCATAATGTGCTAGTAACAACATATGTACACCAAGTACTAAAATAACAGTAGAATAGAGATGATCCTGGGAAAGGTTTTGAAGGATGACTAGGAGTTTGTTCTGTGGAAAGCAAGAGATGTCCTCTGAGATGGAAAGCATGAACAAAGTAGCAAAGATGCGTTTCCAAAGCTATAGCTAGTTAATAAGACTAAAATATAAAATGCACTTGAGTTTGAGAACTAATTCTAAGAGGGCCTTGAAAAACACAATGTGGTTATTACTGTTAGTTATTCTTAGTGATCTCATTTCATCTCACAATCTGAAGACTTTAATGTTGCCATTTCCAAATTTCTGTCTCTAACCTAAAGTTCATTCCAGAACTCCAAATTCTTGTATCCTAAGTATCTCTAATAGACAACCCAACATA